TGCTTTCTGCGTGCTGGCCACGGACGAGGAGGATGAGGGGGACATTGCCCTGCAGATCCACTTCACCCTGATCCAGGCCTTCTGCTGCGAGAACGACATTGACATTGTGCGGGTGAACGATGTGGCCAAGCTGGCTGCCATCGTGGGGCCCAGCGAGGAGTCTGGGGAGCCGCGGGACCTCCACTGCATCCTCATCACGGTGGGTGTCCTGCGGCACGTGAGCGGTGCTCGGTGTGCTGTCCTCTGGGGCTGTTCTTGCGCTACCGGCCTCTGCATAGGATGGTTAGAGCCTTTCAGGGCAGCCCCATCTCCCGCTGGTAGTCAAATTCTCTTCTGGGCAAAGAAAGGGGGCTTGGCACATACCGTACAGAAAGTCAGCTGAGTAGTAGCAGTAGGCTACACTTCTTGTAACTGTGGATTTCCTCTGTTGCCCACAAGGCTAATGTCTCTGCTTCCTGCTTTGTCTGTGTCAGGACAGAAACCATCTGAAAGTGCCTTGCTTCCTAAGCTAATGCTTCTGTAAATATTGTCATGATCTCAGCTGGCAGGCAGCACTCATGGTGTGCAACTTTTTTCTTTCTGGCAGAACCCGAATGAAGATGGCTGGAAGGACCCAGCTCTAGAAAAGCTGAACTTGTTTTGTGAAGAGAGCCGAAATGTCAATGACTGGGTGCCAACTATCACCCTGCCTGAGTGATGGTGACCCAGTGCACTGGGGAGGCTGAAACCTTTGTTGCATTCTCAACGTGGCGTGGGTTCACCGAAGTGTGCAACAAGCTCCTGATTCCATGGATTAGCCTGGTCAAGAGACTGGATTAAAGTCACTCAGTCTGGCATGCAGTGGGCTCTTACGGAGGAGAAAGAGAAGAGCTCGCCTTACCAGTGAGCCTCAGTAGGCTGCAACCGTGGAGAGGCTGACATACCATGGAACTGAAAGAAGTATTGCAAGTTTCCTGGTCAAGTGGAGCTGTTTCAGAAGGCAGAGAGAAAGTTGGGAGAAGTGGGCCAAAACTTTCCAGAAGGACTGGACAGAGTACTGTAACTAGGAACTGTTGGTGCTGTCTACAAAACACAGAAGAAATTTTCAATATTTGATGGACTACTAGGGACTGGTTAATAAGACTAATACAGAGACTCCGAAGTGGACAGACTTCAACAGGCCTCTTGGGTCACTCTGCAGAACTGGTTGAATAACGCAATAATTTTTATTGAAATATTTGCTGCTATTGAAGCTTTCATAATAAATTTTTGACAATTAATTGCTGGGAGTGTCTTGCTTACTGGGTGGGGAAGCATGTCACTGAAATAGCACTGATGTTTTGCTCGTGTGCTGTAGTCAAAGGTACATGCCACAGTAACGGAGCTGTTGCTAAAATACTTTCTCTCCTGGGCCAGCTGAACGAAGAGCTGTGCTGTACAAGTTGATAATTCAACCTTTTGCCCTCTTGCAACAGCTGCTTATCGCAACAGCTTGCAAGACTAAGGAGCTGCATGCTTAATGAGCTCACTTATTGTAATAGGTGGTCTTTGTAGTCTACTGAAGGAACACAATACATGTTAGAAACATGGATTTTTGGAATACAGACCTCCAGTAAATTGCATCATTAGTTCTTAAATATGACTTAGTAGGACTCATTCAGAGCTGCAGTGTTCCTACTTGACAGAAGCAGCTTAAACATGATGGGGGGGGACTGCAAAACTCCTTAGATGTCAAATATGTCTAACATTTGCTTTGATTAGAATGAATGACATCGTTAAATCTAAAACTAGCTAATAGTGAATAAACATCACACCTGCTGCAAGCTGCTCTCTGATTGCCATATGTTCTAACAATAGAAGCTGTCACTCCAGAAGCCAATTTTGCAAAACCTAATTGCATGACAACACTAAATTAAGTCCAAAACAATTTAAGGATGGTGTGCCCTTTTTTAGAGATCCTGTCATGGAAAGTTAATACGGGCAGGCTGATTTGGCCCTATGTTAAAAGGGAAAATATCACCCCATTTCTGTGCACAATCTGTATGTGTGTTCCAGGACTTGACACTAAAATCGCACAGTAATGATCCCTTCTCCAGAGAGCAAGAAAGCTAAACTACTGACTTCCTCTACAGGCGCTAAAAATACTCAGTTATCACAATTACATTTCCTCTAGGCTGGCTTGCAGTGATTGACGGTAGCACTTGCTGAAAAGTGGTCATTTCTTCTACACGGGGTATCTTAAACAGTTGCCTTTTCTGGGAAGCTGCTTGCTCTCAGTTTCATTGTTCCTGTTAAGGGAAGTTCAAATTCAGCTCCAGCATTCCTGGAATATGCTGCCTTGTACAGGAGGTATCTAGCACTGCTTGGCCTTTGTTACTGTGTCATGAGAGGCTGTAGGATGGCAACGTAACCAGAGTTCAGGCTGAAGCAAAAACTCTAGGGGCCTCAGACCTCTCTGCAAGTATTCCTTCTCGCAGTTAAGATAGAGGAGTTTTCTGCGCAGCCAGTTTTTCTACTTAACCTGCACTCATCGGCTGGTGTCTGCTGTAGGACTTTGAGAAAAGTCATACGGAGGAGCTAAGAGAATAAACAGCTTTGGCAGCTGTGATAACAGAAACTGCCTTTAAGGCAATTGCCTTGATACGTAGAAAATATCAAGTCTGGATGCTTTATTATACATTTTTATATTTTCCCCTTAGCAAATGCAGGTTTCTTCATTTTCAGTGGTTTTACAGCTGAGAAACATATTTCTGTTCTTTGCTTGGGGCCTAATCAGTACTCAGAGCCAAGAACAGATTAAAGTGAACTGTCCCGAAATCAACTTTTCTGTAAAGTGTAAGCAGTACTTTACAGCCTTGAGTCGTTCAAACAAAGGCCTGAGAAGATCGAAGGAAGTTTTCAAGCACGTATACAATTACATATACAGTTAATGTATAGCAGAGAAGAAGTGCAACCGAATTGTTGGCTGGGACAGTAGGCATACATAGTTGTACCTGGTAGGAAGTTTAACTTTCCAGCTTTTATGGAAGAAATATATTATGCAGCAAACAATGAAATTAATTAATGCGGCAACACCAAAATACCCTTGTGAGGATGTTGCCTCTAGTTCCTTAGAAGAGAAACTAGGCTAAGGTCAGCCTCCCCAGTTGTCTTGTGAAGCTGTAAGCTGTGCCTCACGAGAGGTACACAATTTCTTATTTTAGCGACCCATACAATTCTCCTGAAATCCTTTCTGGCTCGATGCAGGTACACTGCGACGTGAATAGTATTAAACTGAGCTAGCCTGCAAATGTTATTAATACGGCGTTGCAACCAAAGGCAGCTGTAACTTGCAAGTTATGTGCTGCTGCAAATATCTGTAATGATCAACACGACTTAATGTGGCAAAAATTCAGCAGCTGGTATCTACTGGTACAAGTAGACTTCATCTTTACGTCCTCAGATATATAACTGTGCAAGGAGCAACTCTACAGTTGTTAAAGATAGACAGTAGACTTGGGTATTACTGACTGGGGTGGGTGGGGACAGCTGGTCGGGAGATGTTGGTTGGCTCACCAGATGTCCAGGGTGTTTTGTCAGGTATCTGGGGGATCTGGAGGGCAGGGACAGTAACCTCGTGTCTGGGAGCAGTGTGCCCGGTGTGCCTCGAGTTCCCAGGAAACAGAAGTGCCCAGGACAGGGGCACTACGGGTTTGCAGGGCTGGCAAGGACTGCTGGGAGCTCTGTCGCAGTGCCTACATCCCAGCCGTGCTGCGTGGTCTTCACAGCCTTGCTCGCTTTGTGCCACAGTGGGCCACATCAGGGGGCTCTGGGGAGGAGATCGAGGGTAATAGTTATTGATAATAAAGGTGGTTCTCCAGGACATGAGCCAGCCTAGTGACACAGAAGGGGGTGCAGGACACGGAGTGGAGTCACAGAGCGGTGGTGCTTCTGGCTCTGCTTCTGAAGGTCTGCTTTTCGTCACTTGTGTGCCACTAGGTGATCAAAACTGTGTATTTAAATATTATAATCATAGACATTTGTGTTGTGCTGTCTATACATCTAAGTAAATTTTTTTTTAATGAATTGATGTATAAAGTTGCATTTAAAATTTTTTGAGTGATGGCTTTACGTTTCTCTGCCTGGGTATCTGTTTCACCATCTAACAGTGCTGACTGACAAGAATTTCTCCTCGTACGCTGTTCCCTTCTCTTAATGCTGTTTTCTTCCTGTTACACTGCTGCACATCTCTTTACTTTCCTCTGTCTTTTGGTTATAGATGGTGATCCTCTCTTTAGATGCCTGATTCTTTTAGTATATGCAATGTTGAGTTAACTGCCTTATCATCTTATCAGGATATAGACATGCATACTGGCACACAGGACGCAGTTATTGTAAACACTGCTTTCTCTTTGCTGTTGAGTAGGAAATACAGAAAGGAAGATAATAAGTATATTAGAAAGAGGCAGGCCAACTGCTGCACAGAATAATGTTTGCATATAACCTGTGCATATGCTAGACAATCTGTTCAAACAGCGTTTATAGCACTGGATGCTCAGGGAAGGAGCACTGACATGCCCTTTTTGCAGCCTTAGAGTTCTGCAGACTGGTGGAGTTTTAGTCGTAGGTGGAGGCTGTTTGAATTAACATAAGTTCTGCAAGGAAACAGTCTTTGCAAAAATGCTGGTGGCAGAAACATGCCACAACACCACTGTCTGACACATAAGGGAGACCAGGCTCATGTCAACAAGTCTGTTAACTCCAGCTCTCCGATCCCCTGTCACCAGGAGGAAAGAGCAGTGTGTGTCCAGGTTAAACCATGGCAAGTATACGGACAGTATATGACTAGTGGAAGCAAATGTCGTCACACGTGTGAGCAAGAGAGGTGGGTGGAGAAGGATGTGTGAATATTGTATTCCTCCTAGGGACACGCATTGTGGGCAGCTGTGCTCATGGCTCTGCATCCACAGGACCCCATTCATTGTAAAGCAGCAGTGGCAGAAACCGAGTTTGGCGGAGGGATGGAGCCATACAGACAGTACGTACACCTCACCAGAGCCGTTCTTTCTACAGGTTTTTATGAAAATAGCTTCTCA